TCAGGCCTTATGCTGGGCTGGCTCCTTCCCTACTTCCCACGCTGTCCTTTCTCAGGGGACGGTTGAGGCTGAGGGATTCTCCCTTCCAGCTCCTGCCCGCAGATAGGCCCCCTCCCAGGCTCCACACTCCAGCCTTCACTCCATCTTCCACCCGACCCTACTCCCCTGCTAATCAGACTCTCTCATATTTAAGGGCTGTCTGGGCCCCATGCCAAGCCTCCTGCTTGGGGATTGGCTATGATCCACTAAGTATGCAGATCAGCCCCTCCTCACCCTCACCCACTGCCTTCTAGAAACTTCTTAAGTTTCTAGAGCAGGGGGAGGTATCAGGGAACTGATCTGCAGAGCCCTCAGCCCTAACCTAAAAATGGCCTGGCTGACTCACCCAGGCTAACTCACATCAGGCTGCTATTCAGCCTCTAAATGAAAAACCTAGCTAACTAGAGGGGCATTACACTATCAGTAGCATTCTTTACATTCTGTAAGTTAGATGGGGCCTACATGAACTGGACTTGTTTTTCCAGCACATCCCACATATGCTCGATTAGATTGAGTACTGGAGACCAGGTCACCTTCTTCCATTGCTCTGTGGTCCAGTTCTGTTGCTCATGTTACCTTTTTATATGTGCTTTTGACTGTGGGTCAACATGGGCAACAAACTACAATGCACTGTGTTCTCTGACACCTTTCTATTAGAACCAGCATTACCTTTTTCAGCAATATGACCTACAGTAGCTCTTCTGTTGGATTGGAATAAACAGGCCAGCCTTTGCTTCCTATCAGGGCACACCAGGCATTTGCCCAGTGGGCCGAGGCTGCTGGGCAGGGCCAAAACTCTGGGATCTCTGCTGTATCTCCTCAGCTCCCCACAATGTGCAGAGAGGGAGGGGGAGGAGGGAGTCCATTAGAGGCAGAAAGCTCTCTGGAGTCCCGGAACCAGGTGCAGGGGGCAGGGTGACTGGGCTGCTCTGAAGCCACTGGGCTGTAGGAGAGAGACTCTCTCAGCTCAAATCCAGTGCTGACAGTTCAACCCCCCGGCCATGTGCATGGATGGGAAAGGAGAGAGAGAGCTGGTTCTGCTGCTCCTCTGCCCACCCTCTCCTCCTGTGTCTTTCAGATGCCATTGTAATGAGATAATCAATGTTATTCACTTTATCTGTCAATGGTCATACTGTTATGGCGATCAGTGTATACGTCAGTCAAGTGGTTAAAACAGAAGAGATTTATATTTAACTTCCATCACAGATCCAAAAAAGAGGGGTTTTATTCCTCATTTTAGGATAGTGGGCTCAGCCATGCAAATCATTCCTTCATGTCCCTGTAGCCAGTTGTACATCCACAACTAATTACAACTGTTTCAGGCTAGCTGGCCATATCTAGAGCACTGTATGGAAACTATGGCCTCTATGGACTGACAAAAAGGTGCAACTAGACAAGTTATGGTGAGGATGGCGAAAAGGAACCAAAATGCCCCTTGCTTAATTAGTGAGAAACACAAGAGAGCCGTCTTAAAACAGAAGGCATGTGCATGTCACACGTCTGTTCCTGAGCATGTTATCTTAATAACATTACAATAACCATAGATTCAAAAATGATCAGAATTATTCAGTTTACAGAGTTTTATTGGATAGTAGAGTCAGTTCTTTTTTCATCAATTCTGGTTTACCTTTTCAAATGCCGTAGGTCATAACTTATTGATGTGTGTCATCTAACATGAACATACTAACACCAGTCCTGGTCTTTACCTGCACACTAACACAGATAGGGTGACACTGTGATCCCAGAACATTGCCTAGGACAGAGCATCATTGAGACAGAAGTCCAAAATCCCAACTGACCCGGATTTGCCAGACAGTCCTGCATCTATGCAGGAGTTATGACGCGTGACGTCATCACATACAGGGATGTGGCTGCCATCTTGTTGATTGGAAACATCTTTGTGGTTGGTAATATTGCTGTCCATTTGACTGGAGCGAATTTCCAAAAAGAGTGGTGCCATTGAGAGAAGCTGATGGAGGCCCTGCTGTGATCTTTATGGTGTTAGTTTTGCTTTTTGACTGTTGCCGGTTGGGAGGTCAAAATAAAGGGTAAGTGTGTTTAATTTGGAGGTGGAGGTTTCTTCCTCCGTGTGCTCTATCTCTTTGAGCACCATCAACTGCAGCTTACACAAAGAAGATCTGAGCAGACTTCTAGTTTACTCACACCACTCTTTTGGACTGTCATTTGCACCTTATTTAAGACATTTACCAAATGTTTTTTGCACTTTATGTCAATGCTTTTATTAGATAGTGCTGCACTGTAGTGTGGATTTATCTATAAACGAGTACTACATGTCAGGACTTTTCCATTCAATTCTCTGGACTTTGGACATATAAATATACACTGCTCAAAAAAATTGAAGGAACACTTTTTAATCAGAGTATAGCATATAATCAAATAAACTCCTGGGATATTGATCTGGTCAGTTAAGTAGCAGAGGGGGTTGTTAATGAGTTTTAGCTGCTTTGGTGTTAATTAACTTAACAACAAGTGCACTAGATGGGCAACAATGAGAGGACCCCCAAAACAGGAATGGTTTTACAGGTGGAGGCCCCCAACATTTTATTCCCTACTCATCTTTTCTGACTGTTTTTTCTAGTTTTGCATTTGGCTAGGGTCAGTGTCACTACTGGTAGCATGAGGCGATACCTGGACCCTACAGAGGTTGCACAGGCAGTCCAACTCCTCCAGGATGGCACATCAATACATGCCATTCCCAGAAGATTTGCTGTGTCTCTCAGCACAGTCTCAAGAGCATGGAGGAGATTCTAGGAGACAGCAGTTGCTCTAGGAGAGCTGGAAAGGGCCATAGAAGGTTCTTAACCCATCAGCAAGACCGGTATCTGCTCCTTTGTGCAAAGAGGAACAGGATGAGCACTGCCAGAGCCCTACAAAATGACCTCCAGCAGGCCACTGATATGAATGTCTCTGACCAAGCAATCAGAAACAGACTTCATGAGGGTGGCCTAAGGGCCCGACTTCCTCTAGTAGACCCTGTGCTCACTGCCTGGCACCATAGAACTCGATTGACATTTGCCATTGAACACCAGAATTGGCAGGTCCACCACTGGCATCCTGTGCTTTTCACAAATGAGAGCAGGTTCACCCTGAGCACATGTGACAGACGTGAAAGGGTCTGGAGAAGCCGTGGAGAACGTTATGCTGCCTGCAACATCATTCAGCATGACCATTTTGGTGGTGGGTCAGTGATGGTCTGGGGAGGCATATCCATGGAGGGACACACAGACCTCTATAGGCTAGACAATGGCACCCTGACTGCCATTAGGTATCAGGATGAAATCCTTGGATCCATTGTCAGACCCTACGCTGATGCAGTGGGTCCTGGTTTCCTCCTGGTACATGACAATGCCCCGCCTCATGTGGTGACAGTATGCAGGCAGTTCCTGGAGGATGAAGGAATTGATACCATTGAATGGCCCCCACACTAACCTGACCTAAATCCAATAGAACACCTCTGGGATATCATGTGTCAGTCCATCCGATGCTGCCAGGTTGCACCTCAGACTGTCCAGGAGCTCAGTGATGCCCTGATCCAGATCTGGGAGGAAATACCCCAGGACACCATCCATCTTCTCATTAGGCGCATGCCCCGAAATTGTCAGGCATGAATACAAGAATGTGGGGGCCATACAAACTACTGAGTACCATTTTGAGTTGTTGTAATGAAATTTCAGCAAAATGGACTAGTCTGCTGCATCATTTTTTCACTTTGATTTTCGGGGTGTCTTTGAATTCAGTCCTCTGTAGGTTGATCATTTTATTTCCATCAAATGATGGGGCATCCTTGCATTCCTAACACATTCCCCAGTCCATATCAGTATAGATATCCAGCAGGAGATTTTTCTCCATTGAGATCTTATGTGTTTTCAAAGTGCTCCTTTAATTTTTTTGAGCAGTATATATACAGTAGGTGCTAGGTTTAGATAGACATATAGATTAGATAGGTGCTAGGTTTAGATAAATAGATTTAGTATGTGTTTTGATTGGTAAATTTAGTTGCCAAACAGTAGTTAGTGTGGTTGTGATTGTTATTAGGTAAAAGCATAGTTTACCCACTGTGATCATTGCTGCTGTGTTCTGCTAGTTAGGTCTGCCCAGTGTGTTCAGCTGTTGCCAGTCTGGTAGCTCCCTCTGCCTCCAGAATGCTTGAGAAGTTTCTGGATAGGTGTGGATGATAGGTGTGGAGCTATCCCAGTGAGGCAGGCTCTGATGGCATGCTGGGTAGATGTATATATTCAGTGAGCACACTGAGTTCAGGGTCTTTTCCTGGATAGGATTGGTTCAGCCTAGAGAGGGCATGCTGCTCTCCCAGGCAATGCTGCTGTAGACCTGAAGTGGGCTTGAATACTGAGACCTGGGTTCTGCTGAGAGCTAAGGGGCCATCTTCTAAAGGTCTGGTATCAGGGAAGAAGGCAACCAACTGTCTTTGTGCCTTGTGAGTGGAGAAACCTCTGAAAGGATCTTAGAGACATACTGCTAAAACCCCTCTGGTGCTAGGTAGTCACTGGCTGGTGTTCTGAAGAACTTTTGTCCATCTCCAAACTCCTACTAAAAAGGGACTCCTATACCCCATGTTCTGCTCTAGATTACTACTACTGCTACTACTTTAAAGCTAAAGTCTACTGTGTGCTACAAGCACGGGCTTTAACATAGCTTGCTCTGAAGAATACCCAAGTCCTCAAGTGTACATAGTTCTTGTATCCCACCTAATTCCCTCAACCCTATCCAGGTTCTCCAAAAAATAAAAAAAAAACACAAAACCAATACCCCTAGACTGCTCATTGAAGAAATATGGGAATGAACCTATTTGCCAGGCTGCGGGGCAAGATAGTAGGAAACCTGGACAGTATTCATGCGGTTCCAATGGGAGTAGTGCTACATATAATTAGGAGTCTGCTTTGTTGGTGTGATAACTGGCACATTTTTTACTCTCATCTCTCAGGATGATGCCCAGATCCATTTGCCTTCTGCTATTGCACCTTGCCTTATGCATACACTGCTACGTTCTCCATCCAGATTACAGGTATGTAATTATTCTTTATGGAATGATGTTATAATAGCAATTTAGTGTGTGTACACTGGTAATTGACCATGTTTGCTTTGTGTATTACACCTAGCCACCGGTGGCTGTGCAAGAAACATTCTTTTTGAATTCACGTGCAGTGCATACTGCCCCATATAAAGTATATCCAACTCTATGGCTCCTGCTTCTGCTTGAGTCCCTGTGTGAAGAGGAAGAGAGGGGAGAAGAGATGTAGCTGTGCACAGCACTGGATCTCATCTCCCCTCTTTTCCCCTTACCCACATGGAAGAAAAATATATTTGAAATATATTTTAAAAATATTCTTCCCAAATGAATTGACATATATTTGAAATGCTACAATTTTGACCATATTCAATATATATATATATATATATATATATATATATATATATATATATATATATGTTGAAATGCGTTTTTTATATATTACAAAATATATGAAAAATATTTTCAAAAATATCTATTTTTTAAATATAATCTTTAGATGTATTTTAACATATAAAAAAAGTAATTTTAACATATATTTTTTTACATATACCTGTAAATGCATTAAAAAAATGTAGATTTGTATTTTTAAATACATACAGTATATTTGAAATGTATTTTTAAAAATATTTTTCATATATTTTGTAATAAAAACACATTTCAACATGCAGTGTGTGTGTGTGTATATATATATATTTTAATGAAATATATTGAATATGTCCAAAATTGTAGTATTTCAAATATATATCAATTATATTTGGGAAGAATATTTTTAAAATATATTTCAAATATATTTTTCTTCCATATGGGGGGGAGGAGAGAAAAATATGAAACAATTTGTTCATTCTCATGCAAGGAATGCATTAAAGTGGTTCCAAAGGCTCAAAGTTTTTTACCTTCATGCATTCTATGCATGCAGGTAAAAAAAACCTTCTGTGTGCAGCGCCCCCCCCCAATACTCACCTAAGTCCCCATTCAATCCAGCGATGTGCACTGGAGTTTCGGCTATCCTGAGACTCCCTCTTCTCATTGGTTGAGACAGAAGCGGTTTTTGAGACAGAAGTGGGAGACAGTGAGCAAATGAGAAAAGAGGGGATGGGGCCGAGCCACAGCTCTGTGTGTGAATGGACACACAGAGCAGCAGGTGCCCCCATAGCAAGCTGCTTGCTGTGGGAGCACCCGACAGGAAGGAGGGACCAGGAGAGTCTGCAGAGGACCCAAGAAGAGGAGGATTCAGACTGCTCTGTGGAAAACCACAACACACAGCAGGTATGTATAGACATATTTGTTATTTTTTATTTAAAAAAAAAATAAACCTTTAGAATCACTTTAAGGTAAAAAAAACATTTTTAGCTTTAGAATCAAAAATCCACTGTGATTTGGGATTGAAACCAGAAAAGTAGATTGGAGTAAAGATGAACATTTGACTGTACAGAAGAGAAAAGCCCATTACACCACAGGATCACACCTACAGTGGTTTATCTTTGATAACAGTCTCTGAGATGAGTGTGCTCTCTGGAGAGGAGTGACCCTGTCCTCACTTTCTTCTTCTCAAATGTATTTTTCTACCTACTCCTTCTACCTTTCATCATCTCAATTATCTTAGATTTACACTACACCCTCTATACAAAGGGCAAACCCTTCAAAGTGAATTGTGTGAAGCTATCCACTATGGTCTCTGCTAGGGTTATATGCTTCACCTCCACAGCTTGTGTATGGATCATCATGAACTATCGGGTCATCCACAGCTTGAAGTGAAGCTACAGTTGTTACTACATTCTGATTTGCAGCCCAGAATGTTCTAAATCACAGGGACAACCAATAATGGTCACCTTGATGTTGAGTCCGGCTTCCAGTAATAAGCCCTTCTAAGACTAGTGGTTTTATTGAAGGTTTTTTATTGAAGATGGCTGCCTATTGACATGTTCCTGAAACTTTGGCTAGCTATAGATGTGAGAGGATGGTAGTTTGACAGAACACATAGCAGATACAGTGGGTATAGATGATAATAATAAAGAGTCACATTTTGTTGATTTGCAGCCTGAGATGAAGACAGACACAGTTTTTGTTTTACCCAGCTGCATTTACTCAGTGCAACTTATAGCATCCAAGTGAAATATTTAACACCAACATATCAGAAATAAAAAAAAAAAAAATTCAAGAACAAAGTGGCAGGCAACCTACTAAAACGGGGTTTTCAGCTGAGGCCCCTGACATCTCTAGAGAGATGCACATAATATACACTCACTGGCCACTTTATTAGGTACATCTTGCTAGTTCCAAGAAAATATCCCCCACACCATTACACCACCACCAGCCTGAACTGTTGATACAAGCCAGGATGGATCCATGCTTTCATGTTGTTTACGCCAAATTCTGACCCTACCATCTGAATGTGACAGCAACCAGTCTGCCCATTCTCCTCTGACATCAACAAAGCATTTTCGTCCACACAACTGCCACTCACTGGATATTTGTTCTTTTTCGGACCATTCTCTGTAAACCCTAGAGATGATTGTGCATGGAAATCCCAGTAGATTATCAGTTTTTGAAATACTCAGACCAGCCCATCTGGCACCAACCATACCATGTTCAAAGTAACTTAAATCCCCTTTCTTTACCATTCTGATGCTCAGCAAGTCATTTTCACCATGTCTACATGCCTAAATGCATTGAATTGCTGCCATGTGATTGGCTGATTAGCAATTTGTGTTATCAACCAATTGAACAAATGTACCTAACAAAGTGGCTTATGAGTGTATGTAATGCTATAGAATATTGCTTGCAAAAGACAGGAGATGGACAGAGGCTGGGATTTTGCAACATGGGTGGTCGTAGAATGAATATTTGCTTCAGGAGGCAGCAAAAGACTGAGCACATGTTCCATGACACTGCTGGAGATCACTGCCATTACAGGACCTTTTTGAAATCAATGCTCACACTCCCACTACTGTCTGCTGGGCCCAAGAGCTGTCCAACAAGTAGCATAGGGTTCCATGCAGCTCTCAGGCCATGTGTTAGGCTCCAGGGCTCTATTCCTTCCCCACTAACTGACACTTAAAAAAAAAAAGACTTTTGCTGGACTTCATAAACCTAAAGGCAGGACGTTAAGGTTCTCCAGAAAGCAAGCTGCAAGATGGAAAGCCTATGGCATATCAAGCTTACACCAAATTTTTGATAACGGGGAACTTGTCACCTTTAACACCTTGCAATCTTGATATAAACTGCCAGATACCATGCTATTTTACTATTTTTAACTCAAGCATGCGGTAAGGGCTCCAGAACCGCCCATATTGTGGGATCTTTCCCCACTCCCATATTTAATTATATGCAATCCAATAACATTTTCATCTCTCATTGCTATATCGTGCTTTAGAACAGCTATCTTGAGGGTTAGGTGAGTAAAGTTATTGAACTTTGGGAGAAGGATGTAGGCACATTCGAGGAGGACCAGTGGGAAGCCATGATGCAATATGTGCAGCTTAGTTCCTTAAATGTATCCCACCGACTCTGCCAACCCTACATTCTTTTAGTTGTTCATTACACCCTAGTTAAAATGCATGCCATGGGGTTAAGGCTCGGTTCACACAAATATACAAGGATTCGGGGCTGTGGTATTATTTGAGTGCAACGAAAAGTTTGATACCTAGGTTTTGGAAAAAAAAAGGAAGTGCCAACAGAGGAGGATTGGATGGTTAAAGTGAATCAGATCTGTGGGACGGAATGATTTTACTACACACATATAGATAAGATGGAGATGTATTATAAAAAATGGAAAAAATGGGAAGAGTATAGAGAAAAAGTGAAATATATGAAGATGTAATACCCCTTGAAAGGAAAATTAGAAATAATATAGGAGGAAGAGAAGAGGAGGGAAAACGCAGAGTGTTGCGGGGGAGGGGGAGGGTTGGGAGAGGGAGGGGAAGTAGGATGGGAAGTGGGATTTAGATAATATGTTAGAGGAAAGATATTGCATGGATATCCTTTTTTATTGCAAAAGGTGACTGTTACTTGTATGTGGTTGAAAATTAATAAATATTTATAAGAAAAAAAAAAGGCTCGGTTCACACTGCTGCATCTGCCAAGTTGTACGACTTTGCTTGGCACTTTGCCCTGCAAATTCCTTCTGACTTTGTTGCGACTTTAGAGTCTAGGGGCTGAAATCGTACCCAAGTCGGATTGAAGTAGAGCATGAGCCTTTTCTAAAATCAAAGCAATTTGTGTGGTATCAGTTAAGACAGCTCTCATAGGGATACATTGAATTTACAGGTCATGCAACTTGGGGTCTCACAAGTCAGGTCCTATGTCGCAGCAGTGTGAACCGAGCCTTAGACAAGACCCTATACGTACCAAATGTAAGACACTTTGGGGATCTCATTTATGTGTTGTGGCATTGTCCCAAGTTATACCGATACTGGGAGTCAGTGGTAAATGCTCTCTACTCTGTTTCCAACCATTATACAGTTAGATCCGAAACAATGAACAGTATATTAGGCATATTTGATGAAGTCAGTTTACAAGCTCCTCAGATAGAGGCAGTCTCTTAGGCATTGTTTCAGGCCCGCAAATTGATTCTCCAATATTGGAAAAATCGTCCAACCAGGGAAGCCTCGCTATGTAATATAGGACTTACTTTAAGGTATGATAGATTCATTTATTTCCACCATGGATGCCCAGAAAAGTTTGAGAAACTATGGAGGCCTAGTTGGCCAACCTGGGTCAAATCTCTCTTGATCTGGTACAACACAGACTGTTATAGATAACCCTACTATGTCTAGTCTGCACCTCCTTGGGTTGTAGGGTTGAGATGAGTTATGGTATGAGCCGAGAAGTTACGATGTCTCCTCTTCTGGTATCGATGTTTTCTATACACTGAATCAGTGTTTGTATGTTATTTTCTACTGTACTGCACATTTTTTCTTTAATTAGCCATTGGCCATATGCGCTGGATTTTTTTGATCACTGTATTGAACTGTGTGTTTGTAAGTTCAAAAATGTTTTTACTTTATGTAAAAAAATAAAAAAAAGGATCTCCATATCTTATTGTCCTATAGAAATATGTATATTTGTGCTCCATTTTGCAGCCCAGGCCAGTTATCTAAATCCAGTAGGCATGTTACTCTACCAATGCTGAAAAGAAATCCCATGCAGAATCAAGACTGGTCACTTGATGAAGAGCGGGAATTTATTCGAGGACTCTCAGAAAATAGGTGGGTGTCAAAGGCTCCTAAAATATCTTCTTGGTGTTGTAAAATGATGACCATCTTTTAGCTGATGTAGTTTACAGCTCTAGCTTTGAACTTACTCTAGGATGGAGAGGCATGTGGATGCTATATTCACCAACACATACAGAAAATTCCTGGGCCAAATCTCAGCCAGGCGCTACCTGCAGAACATGATGGGAAAACGATTGGGGTAAGTATGAATTTAGGTTTGGGATCATGGAAGATTTGCTTTTTAAAATTACACCTGACACCACTTTCTGATTATAGGCAAGATTACATGGAAAGTCAGTTTCAAGCTGACAACAAACAAAATCCTAGGATATTAAGAGACACAATTGCATCAGTTTTGGTTGGCCTGTAAGATTTTTTTTTTTTTTTTTTGCTTTAAAATTTGTCAAGTATTGGTTGTTTTTAAGGGTTTGTCAGAGAGCTGTGAATTAGATGATTAGAAAGGAAGCAAAAAAAAAAAAAAAAAAAGTTTATACTAGCCTTTAGGTACAGGTACTGTTGGGGAGGATGGGAAGAAGCATCGTACTTACCATTTCAAATCAATTCTGTATGGAGATAATTTTTTTTAATAGTGAACTAAATCCTGTTCTGCAAAATCAATGCTACTTGTGGTTTCCGCTGCATCCCAGGAGCCTCATTTGTACTAGACACCGCATCTCACAGTGCAACGCAGATGTCTTGGCAACTGATTGGAAGGAAACTGCATTGCATTAGTGAAGCGATGGATGCATGCCTCTACTTCTGTTTTGATAAATCAAAATTTCCATAGAAAGGGGGGCACATTGAGCATGGTCTGCAGGCATTTGATCATGCCTGTTATCAAAACGTAAGATTAGTTGTCCATAGACATTGAAAATTCTGACCACTGTCAATTAGTCCACATTTACTAGGTTAGTTCCGTACACAATTCCATTTTTGTTGAGCCTCATGTTGGCCTCTGCTGAACCAAATGCAGCATGCAATGTTCGGGCTATGCCACCCCACTGACTTACCCAGATTCCTGTGAACATTCCAAAAGTGGCCTATCCACATGAACTAGATTCTTTGGTTTTGCATTGTACATGTATTTTTAACACCAACGTACTGATGTGACACATTTTATTTGTCCACAGGAAGAACCCAGACTGGAGCGTAGATCAGTCTTAGCAGCCATAGACCTACACACTAGCAGATTATTTTCCTTTTTTTCCCACAAGAAGAGGATGCTGTAAATAAAAGTGTTGAAAAAATACATCACCCATCAACATGGGAAAAACAATTCAAGCTTTTCTGGTGTCTGAAATGGTGAACATGTCAACAAAAGTTCCTCTTAATTTGTTTTGTTGAAAGTCAAAATTAGTTTTGTTAAATAAAAAGAAAATGTTTTATGAAGCAGTCTGTTTCTGGCCTCCATGGGGTTGATGGATGTTGCTCAATTTAGGTAGGATATTCTGGCTAATTGACTTCTCCATTGCTGATACACCTGACCTCCGACAGGTCCCCTGTAAGGTACATGCCACTTAGTTCATGCTTATGAAGTGGCTGCAAGTCTGTGGTCCGTGCTTACAGTATGAGTAAATGAAAAACCTGGAGATCACCAGCACTGAGATGCAAAAAAGATGAACACAATATTGTATAAAAAAAAAAAAAAAAAAGAAAATGCCAAATTTTTTTTTATACACTAGCCTGTAGCAACCAAATCCATATAGTCTCTAGTTTTTCAGGGATACCAGCCACATTCAAGCATAAATAAAGTAAAAAACAGAAATCACATACTTGCTTCAAGTTTCAATTTATCAGTTTTATCTTTTTTTTTAGTCCCCATAATTACCATAGAATTGTTCCAAAGATCCATCTCCATTCATACCCTTTATGCCTGTGTCTACAATTTATTCTACTCTTTCAAAATCTCCATTCATAACCAAGCATAGACTACAAATGTGATGACAAATGATGAGCCTAAGTGAAAGAACATATCCTTGGCATCCCTTTAGACAAGCATGTTCCATCTTGATGGCTAATGGATAGTCCAGACTTTAGCTATGCTGATCAATTGCTTTATTACAGTTCCAGAAGCAGGTCTAATAGAATGTAATCAAGCAACTGATGGGCAGACTGCATATCTATAACCTATACCAGTGACCAGCTTCCTCTCTCGCCCTTAACATGCATGTCTGGCTCTAATGAAACAGAACTGTGAGTGGGGACACTACCAGGAACCGTGGGAGATGTGCTTTTACAATGATCAGGAAGTGGATGTATCCCCTCTCCACACAGCTCTGCTCTATACACAGGTTATGTCCAGCAAACTGATGACTGCTACTGTTGCAAGGTAATAACCAGGCATTCACAACACAAAAAAGGTGATTTATATCTTTTGTAACTACTGCAGAATATATTTAGAAAGTTTTTTGTGGTCAGAGTTCAGCTTTAAATGCACCTTTATCATGCAGCTGTAGCTACGTTCCTTATTTACCACAGAATTCCTAAACTGTACAGGAGATTTTAGCAGATTAATGCTAATGAAACTGTTTCAACTGAGCCAAGTTTGACCTAGAGGACCTGAGCTCTGGAAGCTGTGCCCAAACAAAAAGGCAGGCAGAGGGCAAGTTTCAAGTCACCTGTATTACCTAATTTTCCCAGCAGCTGAACCATTACTTTGTTACACAATTTTTTTTGATTGTGGAGATGGCCATCTTGGCAGCTTTTGCTTATTTATATTAGAGCTATCGCCATGATGACTGGTGGAATACTAATCAGTCAACAGATGAAAGAGAGGTCCATAAAACATGGATCCACAGAATGATGCAGATTCTTGCACTGCAGTTCTCTTTTTCAAAGAAAACAGTGAACAGCATCACCAAATCTCGCCCCAAATTGTGAGATACTAAAGCCCCGTACCCATGGGCCAAATATTGGCCGAAACAGGCCAGTACAGTAGATACTGGCCTATGTGTACAGGTCCTTGTTTGACATAAGCCTATCTCACAACCGGCTTTTGTCGAATGAGCTTGCTGGAAAACCAGCGTCCGATCAGCACTCACAACCAATAGTTGCGAACGCTGACCAGTGTTTTCTGGCAGGGGGGTAGTTAGCACAGAAACCTCCTCACGAGGTCCTTGTTTGACAGAAGCCTGTCTCACGGACAGCTTCTGTCGAATGAGCTTGCTGAAAAATCAGAAGCTGATCAGCATCCGAACAGTTCTCGCAACCAATGGCTGCGATCTCTGACCGTCGTGTTCTGAAAGAGGGGCGGTTAGTACAGAGACCTCCTCACGAGGTCCTTGTTTGACAGAAGCCTATCTCATGGACGACTTCTGTCCAACGAGCTTGCTGAAAAACCAGCAGCTGATTGGCATGTGATCAGCGCTCACAGCCAATGGCTGCGAACGCTGACCAGTGTGTTCTGTCGGGGGGCGGGGGGGCGGCATTTAGTACAGAGACCTCCTTGCGATCTCCTCAGTTGTTTTCTGGCTGAATGGTAAAAAAAAAAAAAAAACTTACCATGTGTACCAGGCTTAATATGTAGCAGTACCTTAGATGATGCCACCCAACAGACATACAGCTATGAGGCTATAGGCACCGACACAGGAGGTCTTCACCTTTCTCAACCATGGCTCCGTGATTCCCTAGGGCCCCCCCAGAGGTTTCTAGGGGTTCCCTGAGCAAGAGGCGATGTTTGCCCTTCAGATAAATTCCCACTGACACCCATGATGTTTCTAACTATCTGTAAGAGGAGGATTCTTCCCACTGCCTACAAATGTAATGAACAATCTTTCACTAAGTATCACACTAATGTTCAGTGAGCTGTAGATACAGTAAATATCAGCAGGGGCTCCCTTAGACCGGAAAGTTATTCTAGCAGTCCTATCATGTTAAAAAGGATGAGAAACGCTGCCCTATGCGCTCCCATGTACCAAGAAGTGCACTCCTATTTTTCAGGAGCAATTTATTTTATTTATAGAATGGTCAGAGGAGAGAACCTGTGTCAGGTTTTATTTGTTCTGTTGACTACTGTCACTAGGACAAAAATCCCAATTAATGTTTCCATTGGAATGGGAGGTTAGGATAATGTAAGGGGGATTTACATTTTCTGTTGTGTCTCCACAACTGAAAATTAAGAAAAACAACCCCCAACAAGACAAAGGCAGTTTTGCTCATTTTGGCTTTAACTGCTAAAAATTGTAAAAAAAAAAAAAATATAAAATACATCTAGAGATGAGCGAATCGAACCAGGCGAAGTGGAATTCGTTTCGAATTTCAGGAAAAATTCTATTCGCGGCGAATCCGAATATTAGCATACTTCGGGTGCGCGAATCGGATTTTTCCCGATCAGCCGGCAAAAGTGTCCCTGCAGAGAGCTCCGCTATTTCTGACAGTTCTCTGACAGTTCCTTCACATGTACAGCGGTTGAAACATTGTATCTATTTGTTTCCATTTAGGATACAGATGTTTTTATTCGGAAATAGATACAATGTTTCAACCGCTGTAAATGTGAAGGAACTGTCAGAGAACTGTCAGAAATAGCGGAGCTCTCTGCAGATACACTTTTTGCTGTACTGGAATACTTCTTCTTTTCATTCTTCTTTTTTCATTCTTCTCATTCTTCTTCTTTCTTCTTCATGAGAAGAATGAAAAGAAGAATGAAAAGAAGAATGAAAAGAATGAAAAGAAGAATGAAAAGAATGAAAAGAAGAAGAAGAATGAAAAGAAGAATGAGAAGAATGAAAAGAAGAATGAGAAGAAGAATGAAAAGAAGAATGAAAAGAAGAAGAATGAAAAGAAGAATGAAAAGAAGAATGAAAAGAAGAATCTTTTCATTCTTCTTTTCATTCTTCTTCTTTTCATTCTTCTCATTCTTTTCATTCTTCTTTTCATTCTTCTTCTTTTTCTTTTCATTCTTCTTTTCTTCTTTTCATTCTTTCTTCTTTTCATTCTTCTTCTTCTTCTTCTTTTTTCATTATTCTTTTCATGAAAAGAAGAATGAAAAAAAGAAGAATGAAAAGAAGAAGAATGAAAAGAAGAATGAGAAGAATGAAAAGAAGAATGAAAAGAAGAATGAGAAGAAGAATGAGAAGAATGAAAAGAAGAATAAGAAAAAGAAGAAGAAGAAGAATGAAAAGAAGAATGAAAAGAAGAAGAATGAAAAGAAGAAGAATGAAAAGAAGAAGAATGAGAAGAAGAATGAGAAGAAGAATGAGAAGAATGAAAAGAAGAATGAGAAGAAGAATGAAAAGAAGAATGAAAAGAAGAAGACGAATGAAAAGAAGAATGAGAAGAATGAAAAGAAGAATGAAAAGAAGAATGAAAAGAAGAATGAGAAGAAGAATGAGAAGAAGAATGAAAAGAAGAATGAGAAGAAGAATGAGAAGAATGAAAAGAAGAATAAGAATGAAAAGAAGAAGAAGAATGAAAAGAAGAATGAAAAGAAGAAGAATGAAAAGAAGAAGAATGAAAAGAAGAAGAATGAAAAGAAGAATGAGAAGAATGAAAAGAAGAATGAAAAGAAGAATGAGAAGAAGAATGAGAAGAAGAATGAGAAGAAGAATGAGAAGAATGAAAAGAAGAATGAGAAGAAGAAGAATGAAAAGAAGAAGAATCTTTTCATTCTTCTCATTCTTCTTTTCATTCTTCTTCTTTTCATTCTTCTTTTCATTCTTCTGAGGATGAGGATGAAGAAGAAGAAGAAGAAGAAGAAGTAGGATGAAAATAAGAAGAATTCCAAGCCGGGAAAAAGTGTATCTGTCAGAAATAGAGGAGCTCTGCAGATACACTTTTTGCCGGCTTGGAATTCTTCTTATTTTCATCCTACTTCTTCTTCATCCTCATCCTCTTCTTCTGAGGATGAGGATGAAGAAGAAGAAGTAGGATGAAAATAAGAAGAATTCCAAGCCGGCAAAAAGTGTATCTGTCAGAAATAGAGGAGCTCTGCAGATACACTTTTTGCCGGCTTGGAATTCTTATTTTCATCCTACTTCTTCTTCTTCTTCATCCTCATCCTCTTCTTCTTCTTCTGAGGATGAAGAAGAAGAAGAAGTAGGATGAAAATAAGAAGAATTCCAAGCCGGCAAAAAGTGTATCTGCAGAGCTCCGCTAAGTGTATCGCAGAGCTCCGCTAAGAAATAGCGGAGCTCTGCAGATACACTTTTTGCCGGCTTGGAATTCTC